TGAGTTCAATTTAAAAACCCTGCCTTTTATGAAAAGCTTGCTTGTATTATTGCTTTCATTGTACTGCAGCAATCTGCATTTTTTTTTCTATGCTACTAGAACTTACTGACTGTGTGATCCTGGTTAAGTCACTTAGCCCTATTTGCCTCAGCTCCTCATCTGTAACATGAGCTAGAGAAGGAAATGGCAAACCACTCCTGTATATTCACCAAGAAAACCCCACATAAGGTCATGAAGAGTTGGACGTGACAAACGAACAACAAAAGAACTTAAGAAAAAAGGTTCATTTGTTTCTGTATACAACTAAAAAAGAAAAAAAGAAAGAACAAAGTTTCAAAAATAGAATGGAGTAGTGCTAAGGTAAGACAAGTGAGATAATACTTTAATAAGATTTTTTTTTTCCTTACAGTAGGATCACAGGTTTTAGAGCTGGAAGCAATGCTGCAAGCCACTGAGGCCAACTCTTTCATTTTACAGAACAGAAAACAGAGGCTGAGACTTACTTGTTCAGAGTCATTATCTGAGGCAGTATTTGACCTCAGGTCTTTCTGACTTCCAAGTCCAGTAAACCATAAAGGAGGTAGAATTGCTCTGTGGATTGTGTCTCCAATCCTTGCCTATCCTGGTTCTGTTCTGTTTCCTTCCCCACCCATCACAACCCTGCCCCAAGAAACTGAAAAGTAATAAAGAGGGAATTTAGAAGTGATACGGAAGTCTCTAGTAATCATGCAGGGATCTTCTGTAATTATACACTCGGAAATTTATGAATGGGGCCAATTCTTACTTGATGCAGAGAACTATGTAGTTCCCCTCAGCACATTTAATAAATGATTATCTAAACTAATCTAAGTGGAAAGATAAACTAAATCCATCAAAGGAAAGTAGATATCTTTGGCTTAAGGTCCACAAGTCTACAGGTTTATACAAGTCAGTAAATATAACATAATAAAGTTATGCTGCATGTTGATTTTCTTTCAATGTAGGTTTAAGATATAGCTAGTGGTGATAATAGTATGGATAACAGTATGGAACCAAATGCCACCAGTTTCATTATAATTTTGACAAGTGTGGATCCTTGCCTTCAATACTGATCATCATGTATTTACTAAGCATTTATTATATGCCTAGTACTATGCTGGACAAAATAAATTACTTGAGGATCCCTACTACATGTTGTAAAGTGTTTCTCTTTCATAAACTTTGCTGATAAGTGAACTGATCAGTTACATTAGATCAGCCTTGATTAATGAAACATCAGTAAATGCCCTGTTATTATACTTCCCTTTCTACAAAATCTTTAAGGGAAATCTTAGCTATAAAATCTTTTCCTTTTATATGTCCCATGTTATAGAGGAAAGAATGGCCAAATTTGGAATCCTAGAACTTGAATTCAAAACCTAGTTCTGCTACTTGCTAACTTATGTACTCTCTCTGGATGTCCTTAATCTCAATTTAAGGCATTAGGATGAGATTGCCATTAAGGTTTCTCTAAGTTCATCTATATTAGAACAACCACCTAAATTTATCTTCTCAGGAATTTTTGTTAATAAAACTATGTGGTACAGTGGTTAAGAGTGCTGGACTTGGAGTTGGGAAGGCCTAGGTTCAAATCTGCTTCAGACACTAGCTGAGCAACCCTGGGCAAATCTCTTAACCTGTCTTTCAGCCTCAGTTTCACCATCTGGAATATGGAAATGGCATCTACCTCACAGGGCTGTTGGGAGGATCAAATAAGATAATATATGTAAAGCACTATTCAAATGCTAGCTGTTATTATTATTAGCTATTAAAAACCTCCCTTCATCTTCCACACATCAAAAAAAAGAGGTTTTACATATCACGTCAGAGGGGTACAGAAGATGAATCCTTAGTTTCATTAAAAATATTTCTTAAATTTTATTTCTAAAATGCAGGCATATATGAAACATTTTTGGAAAAGATCTATGAAAGTATCCCTAACACAGATACCATAGGATGACTTCTCCATTTCCACCACTACTTTTCCTACAGCAGACTCTTCTTACTAGAAGCAAGTAACTTACAAACTCTGGCCATGGTGCTGCTGTCATTAACACATGCAGAGATACTCAAGATCTGTAAACAGTAGTTGAATCCATTTATTCCTGAAAATTTTTTCAATTATTTCTTTGGGTTAAAAAAAAAAACCTACCTATATATTATCCATGTTTGGCCCCAAGTAAACAAAAAATCTGGATTTTATTTTAGAAAAAAAATTCAACACAACAAAATAACTGCTTGTTTCAAACATGCACTTCAATCAGAGGGAAATAAGTAGGTCTAATTCCTTTGAAAAGAAGGAGGAAGAGGAGAAGAAAAAATAAGAGGACAAGATAAAGGAAAATAGTTTTTGGTCAAAAGAACTTTTAGGCATAGCAACTAACTGACACTTTTAAATCTTTAAAGTCAATTTCTGAAACTAAGGTCATTCTTTACAATATGGGAAATGTTAATAATTCCATGAGAAGATAAAACTATACTTTAGAAACTCTACAATTTGAAAAGAAAAGCAGATAAGTTGTTTCCTATTACGGAAAGATTTACTCTAAACTTCTAGAGAAATCGTCAGAATTTCAAAAAGCAATGGTATTTTTTTTTCTGATGCCTGGTGTCCATGGATAATATCTGGGTGTGATTTGCCTCATACTATCAATATCACACCACAACCTATGCAAGATCCATCAGCCCTCTCTCTGCTCCCCTATCTTTGGAATGGTTGAAGTTGTATTAGTAATGTCAAGATTGCCTTGAAACTTAAAAACAGGAAGTCATTTTATAGTTATTCTACAGTATCTTGAATAGAAAACTGAATACTTTGAACATCTATTCAAATGGTTGGCTTTTTGTTGTTGTTATTGGGGGATATTAAAAGGAAAAGGGAGAACAAAAAGGAAAACAGTCAAGTATCCTAATAGCATTGGGAAGCAATACTTTATGGTCCCATACTTAGGTATGTGGATGGATATTGGTATTTAGGGAGCCTCTAGCAGGTCTAAATTTAGAACTAAAATAGATGTTACGGGTCTTTTCACCTTACTCTCCTTATTTTACAGATGAGGAAACTGGGGACAATAAAGGTTAAGTGAGTCACCTGAGATCTCATAGTAGTAATTGGCACAGTGGGTTTTTAAACTCAGGTCTTCTGACTCAAGATACACAACTCTCTCCTCTTTCCTAGTTCTTTCTCTTCTGACAAGTATTGCTTACCTCCTCATTTTCAGCATTTAACCCTCATTCCAAAGTTTGGGAACATCAAATTCTGTCATTTAAGAAAGAGGCAACAATGTGTAGTGGAAAGAATGCTGAGCTTGGAATTAGGAAGACCTGGGATCAAATCCTACCTATGACATTTACTTGCTAGACAGTAGGCAGGTCACTTAACTTTTACATAAAACCTCACACACCTTTTCGATTGAGTCACAGCTTGGTGAGTAGAACAAGAAGTCCTCTATACTGAAAAAAATCACAGATCCTTTACAAATTCATTTGAGGAACTGATGACTCTGAACAAACCCTTGTACCCACTTTAAAAGCATCAGACTTAGCTTTCTCCCTCCTACTAGTCAAAGACTAAAGAGGCACCGATCCCATCCTCAACACAATGAGTCACCTTTTACAGGGTAATTCTAAACTTATGTTCTCAAGAATCCATGGGACAATGACTGTTTTTGTATATTTTTTTTTCCTTTGGCTGCCATGTTAAGACCTGATGCTGGGCCTGGTATACATGAATTCAGAGAATTGTAAATTTAGAAATGGCAAGGACTCAGTGAATCCAACATCATCACCCTAGCTGTGTGACACTGTGCAACTCACTTAAACTTTGCCTCAGTTTCCTCAACCACAAAATGAGAATAACACTAGCATCCAGATCAAAGGATTGTGGCGAGGATCAAATAAGACAATATTTGTAAAACACTTTAGCACAATGCCTGGCACATGGTAAAATGCTTAATAAATGCTTGCCCCCTTCTTTTCCCCCTCATTTTGCAGATGAGAAAGCTGAGACCCAGAGAGCTAGGTCACACAGGCCTTAACTAGGACAGACAGAACTTGAACCCAGGTTCTGCAACCTCAAGTCCGGTGATCTTTCCACTACATCACTTCTGCCTCCCAAGTTAGACAGCCAAATCTTCTGATGAGCTAATCCTGACAAAACCCACAAGAAATATCATGTGAATCCTCTTCCCCATCCTCAAGTTTCAAAAGCAGTTGTCCAGTTATGAGATTCTACTGGGTGTTTCTAGGTAGGTGTGATACGGGCCTCGTTTTTAAGCATTAGATTTAATTTAAGCATTTAAGCATTATTATCCTAATAAAACTTTTCTATGTCCTTCAATCTTGGGTGGAAAAAATCCTGCGTTCTGCTTTAGGCCACAATTAGATTATACTTGCCACAAGTTCATTACTTCTAAAGTGTCTGAGGAGGATCAAAGGCTAGGTTACACATGGCTATTTTCGAGAGTGAGAGGGGAAGGCTACAGGGGGATTGTTCCACTGTTGTGAACGGTAGCGGGACACCTCAAAAGCGCTGCAGCTGTCCTCTACCCTAGGGCGTGTCCTGTCCTTGTGTGTTTCCTGCCATCCTGTGCCCACAAAGACCTCCACCCCACACCTCTAGAATTTTAACTACAACAGCTTCTCTGGGAAGCAATGATTTATTTTCCTACCAGTCTCCCAGCAAGTAATTGAGTCCTTCAGGCGAGGTCTCCTTAAAGAACATCCCTCACTAAAGACAGCTAAAACTTTTCCCTACAATAGCTTTAACACTTCGAGCCAGGAAGGCTCCCCGTACCCAGTCATCTCTGTCTCTTTTTCCTCTGACTTTGTTCCTGCCTACCTGGCTCCCCACCGGGGCCCCATCCCAGAGACTACGGGGGAAAGTTGAACCTTAGCAACTCCTGGAAAATCTGCGTTCTAGTTAGCTCTCTGAGGTGCTCTCCTCCCCTTCCAACCCTCGACCGCTGTGCTGCCCTGCTCACCTGGTGTGGCGACTTTTGTCTTTGTCCTGGAGTGGCTGAAGCGGTCACTAGCGAGGACTAGACCAGCAACAGCTACGCAGCACAAATAGAACCCAGCCCCACCTTCCAAACTCCGCCCTGCCAACCTAGGAAGCAGGAGTGGGCGGGGGCGGTCCTGGGTGTGGACGGGGCCTCTGGGCACTGAGGATTTGGTAGCTCAGTAAGTTACAAATCCAGAGCAACCCCTGCTTCGGTTCTCTAGGGAGGGAACAGCTGCCGCAGGCAGGGAGCCACCCTAGTATCTCTGGGGAAGCTGTTATTCCGTGTTCAATTGAGCAAAAGTGAACGTGTCTTCCGTGCAGTACCGGACTCCCCAAGACTTAAAGCAAAGTGGAAAGTTGAGGCCAACTCAAAAGAAAAACTCACTTTGGATTGCTTTTTATTTGCTTTTGATTTGTTTCCCCTAAGGTATCCAGCAAACTACATTTCTTCACATTCATTTGCAGAGCTTTCCAGCGATACTTAAGCTTAACTAGTAGCGTGAAATGTTCATGACATGTCCCAATTTCCTTTCTTCTTGCATATGGTTTCAGAATTGGTTAGGCAATAACATCCAAATGAAAATAATTATGCCTCTCATCAATTAGAGCTCCGAATATGTTTAGTAAGGAAGAAAGAGTTACATAAATCACCTTGGGAATACCAGAGAAGAGACAGATTCTGGACGGGTTTCATTATGTATGCATGTGAAAGGACTTTATGGCTATTATGAAATATTTGTAATGATATCTCAGTGCATTTTTTTGTGACTGAGCAGGATGAAGTCACGAATTTTGTACTCTAGTATTAATGTTAAAAGTTTGGATTGCATTGGAAATATGGCATATTTAAGATATAGGAGTTTGGAAATGTTGTTCACTCGCTATGTACCAGACTGCCAGAGACTAAGGACTGAGTTTGCTCATTAGCAAAATGAGAAGGTTGAGGACCTCACCTACTAGGGCAAGGACTCACTCTTCCACAAAAACTGCTGGGAAAACTGAAAGGTAGTCAGGCAGAAATTAGGTTAAGGTCAATATCTCACACAAAATACAAAGATAAGCTCCATATGGATACCACACTTAGATATAAAAGGTCACATTGTAAACAAATTAGAAGAGCAGGGAAGAAAATAGACTTCCTAACCTTAAGTAGGAGAAAACTATAATCAGAGACCATAGACAAACAAGGGATAAAAAAGATCATAGAAGAAAAAATGTGTAATTTTGGTTAAATGAAATTAGAGAGAGGGGAGGGCTGATGATAGATTTTTAGTGCCCAGGTGCTCACACTTTCCTGAAAAGGACTAATATGTACAAAAATATTTATAGCAGCTCTTTCTATGGTGGCAAAGAATTGGAAATTGAGGGAATGAGTGCCCATCAATTGGGGAATGGCTTAACAAGTTGTGGTATAAGAATATAATGGAATACTATTGCTCCATAAGAAATTATGAGGAAACAGACTTCAGAAAAACCTGGAAAGACTTGTATAGACTGATGCTGAGTGAAATGAGCAGAACAGAAATGAGTGGGAGAACATTGTACACAGTAACAGCCACGTTGTGGATGACTAACTTTGATAGACTTAGCTCTTCTAAGCAATGCAAGGATCTAAGACATCTCCAAAAGTCTCATGAAGAAAAATGCTATCCACATCCAGAGAAAGAACTATGGAGTTTGAATGCAGATCAAAGCATACTATTTGCTTTTTTTTCTTTCTGTCTTGTTTTGTTTTCTCTTTCTTGTGGTTCTATTGTCTATTTGTTCTAATCCTTCCTTACAACATGACTAATGTGAAAATATGTTTAATAGGAATGTATATGTAAAGCCTATATCAGATTTGCACACCATCATGGTGAGGGAGGAAGGGAGAGGGGAGAAAAATTTAAAACTCAAAAGCATATGGAAGTGATTGTTGAAAACTAAAAATAAATTAATAAAAAAAATTGACAAGTGCTACAAAAAATAAAAATAAAAAGCACTTTCCTTACAATAATCCTATGAGATAAATTAAAATAATTAATAATGATAATAATACATCAATAATAATGATAATGACAAATTATAAATTATTGAACACTTTAAGGTTTGCCAAATACTAATATACTTGATATCTCATTTTATCTTCGCAAAAACCTATGGGATAGGTGCTATTATTATTCCCATTTTACAGATAAGGAAAATGAAGATAAAGGAGGTTAAGAGACTTGCATAGCTTGTAAGTGCCAGAGCCAGGATTTAAGTCCATATCTCTTGACTCTTAGACCAGTACTCTTTCCCCTAGACTAGTTTTGTCCACTCCATTACACTGCCCCTCATATTTAGTAGTTGGTATCCTGCGCTTATTTACTGGACTGAAAACAAATGTACTCCTGACAATAAGGGGGGAAAATGTCTTTTCAATTTGGAATAAGAGGATAAGGTCAATGGAAATGGGCAAGATTTTTAAAAAAAATTTAGTTTTTAATGGTTTTTTACTCACATTGATTACTTGATACCAGAAAAACCTGGTTAAAATTTAAAAGTTGAGTTAATTAGTTGTTTCATCTAAATGATGCTAATAATCAGGTAATCCAAATCACTGATAAAAATATTAAACAGTACAGGACCAAGCGCAGATCCATGGGCCAGAGATCTGCTGCCAAGTTGACATTGAACCTTTAATGACTACTCATTGAGTCCAGCCATTTGGACAGTTCCAAATCCATCTAATTATATTATCAATTATTCTACACATCTCCATCTTCTCCACAAGAATACTTTGAGATTCTTTATCAAATGCTTTGCTAAAATTTAAACTGTCTCAGTAATGGTACCCTGATTTGCTAGTCAAAAATGGAAATAGTTTGACACTGGCTCTTTGTAATCATTGATTCTTTGCGTAAGTGTTCACTATGTTGTTGTTTAGTTTTTTCAGTCAAGTCAAACTGTCCATGACCCATTTGGGATTTTCTTGACAAAGATACTGGAGTGGTTTGCCATTTCCTTCTCTAGCTCATTTTACAGATGAGGAAACTGAGTCAGACAGGCTTACGTGACTTGCGCTGGGTGACACAGCTAGTAAGTATCCGAGGCCAAATTTGAACTCAGTTCATTCTGATTCTGGGCCTGGCGCTCTATCCATTGTGCAACCTAGCTGCCCAAGTGTTCGCTAACCATCTCCTTAATGATCTATTTTAGAATTTCTCAGGAAATTCTTTTTAAGCTCGCTGATTTGCAAACTAATTATGTTCAGATGCTTAACAAACATGTTTATGGGTAATTGATAATGAAGTCAGAAGAATACACATTGGCTACCCACATAATAAAACTGATGACATTTAGATCTGTGCATATCTGTATTCACTACTAGCTGTATCTAAATCCTAAAATGAAAGAAAATTAATGTGTAGTATATCTTAAACATTGTGTATTAACTTTTACCTACTGACATGTAAACTTAGATTCATAGGTACTCAACTAATGACCTTTAACTTTTATTTTTGAGATAATTTTAATTTTTTTGTCATTCTTTACTTGACAAACACCAATTTACCTGAACGTTTCAGTAGGCAAAGAACAGACTAAAAGATTATATGTGATACTGTAGATGTCTATTACAGATTGCTGTTTCAAACTAGATGCAACATGTTAGCTTTCAAAATATTGATTTTAAAGCAATTCAGCTTGTCTGCATCCCCTCCAAAACTTTTGTTCTCTTCTATGTGTTTAAAATGCTTCAATGACTCTCTTATTTTTTCTTCTCATTTTTTTTTTGCCATCACTATCATTTATTTGGGGACAGGTAGGTGTCACCGGGCCTAGAGTCTGAAAGAACTGAGTTCAAATTCAGCCCCAGATACTTACTAGCTGTGTCATCCTGAGCAAGTCATTTAACCCTGTTTGCCTCAGTTTCTTCACCTGTAAAATGAGCTGCAGAAGAAAATGGCAAACCACTTCAGTATCTTTGCCAAGCAAACCCCAAATGGGGTCACAAAGAATCATACACAACTGAAATGATTGAGCAACAACAAATCCTCTATCCCCTTCAAAGTATTCCTGTGACACCGCATTTTAGGCTTAATACCTTAATTTGGTGAGATCATAGGCTATAGACAAAGTACAAAAAGTCCTTCGAGTTGGAATGGTGTAGAAGAATTATACATAGGAAATTTGTCCCAGGGGTTATCTATCAATTACCAAAGTAATTAGAACTAGACTCACTCATAAGGTTGGAGCAAGTGTGGTACTCAGACTGCCCCACTGAGAATTAAGGAGAGGCCTGGGCTTTAGCTTTGGCCCTCAGTCTCTTTCTCATCTCCTCTTGCACCTCCACCTCTGGCTAGAGAAGGACCCTATGAGTTCAAAGGGTCTAGAGAGCATAAGTTCCCAAAGTGGGTGATACTGTTGGGGTATGGGCCCAAGACAGGTCCCCCGCCCCCTCCCCCCCCAAAAAAACCCTCTTCCTTGAACCTTACTTGAACCTTTACTTGATTGCCTCCCTCCTTATACTTCCCATCTTTGATCTTAATCAGACCCCATTTAACCTCCCAGACACTTCCATCAAGACTATCCCAGGACCCTTCCCCCAGTCATCTTGGCTTCAGGATCCTCCCTAAACTCCTCCTCCAGTCAATTCTCCCGGATTACTGTCCACTCCTATCAAGACAACCCTTCTCCCAGTCCCTCCTCCAGCCACCCCAAACTACTTGGATACTCCCAGATCCCTCCCATAGTCTTTCTATACATAAGATCCATCCTGGTTGCCATTTAGGGGCTGAGACTTCCTCATGCCTACTTGTCCTTACGAGTGTCGCAAATGTTCAGATTCCTTGAGAGTCCGGCCTATATGGCTCATCTTGAATCAACTTTGTGTTTGGCTGAAAGAAGGCTGGGAATGAATTCTTTCGGGCAGGACCCGCATGTCATAATTTTGGGGTCTCAGCACCCATAACACCTAAACCTCAACAATACCACCCCCTGTGGAGTACTGGAACAATCCAGGTGAGTGGTAGTAGCCTCAGGTGCAAATGGAGGGCATTGAATAAGAATAAGGGGGGGGGGGAGCATAAGGAAAAAAGATAAGAAAATTTTGAAAAACTGTTGGCTTG